ACACCATAATCACAAGCAGTATCAAAGGCAAAAGAAATCATTGCATGAAGATATATAGTAAACAGAGCAGTTGCGAAGACATAGCCTTGCTTCACAACAGATACAACTGCTAAGTCATCCGAGATCTGTCGACTAAGCTGCACCGTCGTTCCATACCACTGCGTAGACATTCACTTAGACTTACAAACTTACTCTGACAACCAAACTTACCCAACACCAGCCACAGTGCCTCGCGGTTTACCGTATCAAATACCTTGGTGAAATCAACTAAAAGCGAGTACAACGGCTTGTGTCGCTCTCTGCATTTCTCCTTCAACTGAAGCGCCGTGAACATCATATCTATAGTACTTTGACCCGCTTCGGAATCCGCGTCGCTCTTCCACCACTTGCGGTTTCACATCCTAGCGGACGAGGCGGTTGAGCAGGACTCGGGAAATCGATTTGCCCACACTACTCAGCAAGTTGATGCCACGATAATTCGTGCAACATTGCTTGCTACCTTTGCCTTTGTACAATGGTAGCACAAGAGCATCCTTCAGCTCAGGAGGCACCTCTTCCTCAATTCACACGCGTTGCACCATTTGGTGTAGTGCATTTTCCAACGCCGTATTTCAATACTTCAGGCGGGATCCCGTCGGCAGTGTCACACTTGCGGCTTTGCAGCTGTGCATTGCACTCTGCATCTTCCCGTGTCGTGTTCGGCAAACTCACTTTTACCTCGTGCTTTTTCAAGCTGTTCGAAGTAGGCCAGTCGATCTCTGAACGGTTGTTCAAGGGAGAGTCAAAGTACTTTCACCAGATCTGCAGTCTGTGTGCAGGTACCGCGTTCCATAAATCGCCTTCAAGGAGTCAAAGAATTCCTTGTGTTGGTGGCGTTCGGTGTAGCATTCCATCTGCTTCTCCGTCCGCCATGCACTTTACTGCGACGGAGCTCTCTGGTCAGTCGGCTACGAATTTTGCGAAACTGACTTTTGCCCCACTTCACTTTGTTCTGCCACGTGTGCAGCAAATGTTGCATTCTTTTTCGGACACCAATGTGCCAATCGTCGCATCGCTCTCAGTAAACCAATCAATCCGCTTAGTTTGCACGCCGGATGGTCTCCTCGACAACGGTTGTCACTTTGTCGCGAAATTAGTGCCACAGGTCGCCCACTGTGGCTATGCATTCCACATCATACCTGCGTGAAAGTATCGCCTACTCCAGCTCCATCCTCTTTTTTCAGGTCCTAGGGAAAGCACGTTATATTTCTGTTGGTTCATGGAAGGAGTGCAATACATAGATTTACGAAAATATATTTACAGTTTGGTCCACACCAATTTGTGATCAGTGCCACACTCAGCTCCACGCAGTACACTTGTGGTACGCACTTCACGCATGTCACGATGACATAGTCGGGCAGGTGAGCGTGACCACTTCGTCGGTGCGTCCAAGTTGCTATATCAGTCGCACTCAGTGCAAACCGAGTGTTCGTGCTCGTCAGGCCGTGAGTGGCACATAGTGAGAGCAGCCTGCCACCGTTCGCATTCCCTGAACCAATGCAATGCGGACCGATGACTTCTGTCCACACCAACGCATCACGCCCAACGCGCGCGTTGAAATCACCTAGCAGAAATAGTCGGTCGCTCCTCAGCGCAGACCGTATCACGGAGGATAGCTGAGTGTAGAATTGATCACGCGTATCAACAGGATAACACGTGGTCGGACCGTGCGTGCTTATCAAAGTAGCCAACTCACCTCTTCCGAGTCGCATGCTAGCGGTCGTCAGTCATGTGCGGTTGTCGGTCGGCTGTGTCACCAGCTGGCCATTCAGGCGACCGGATTTTGCAAATCCGACCCGATGTTCACGTGGTACTAACGTTTCGTTGCCCACCCAGTAGAACATGTAGCCAGCACCTGCTTCATGCAACTTACCTTGTTTAGCGAGCCGGGTCTCGTTGAGCGGCGCAATCTCGATGTTGTAGCGCGCCAATTCCATTTGCGACTAGTGCAGTGCGTCGGTCGGGGCGCTCTTTTGAGTTCCGGTCTAGTAGTGTGCGCATGTTCCAACACCCGATGCTGAGTGCTTTGTGCGCAGACATACGATGGTATTAGTGGGCAATCGCGCGTGATGACGATTATACTTCGGAGATTTGCTTGATGGACTCCACCCTGAGTCTTTGGCTCAATAGCCTGACCCCCAAGGTGCTAGGCGGTAAGGAGGTTTGTTTAAGGGACTCCACCCGGAGCTTTTGACTCAATAGCCTGGCCTTCAAGGCATTGGGGAGCAGATCCAGCTCGGGTGGGTGATTGCAGAGATCCATTGGGATCTGCTTGAGCTCCGTCACACACAGCCTTAGACGATTTTGAATTTTTCCTATACGTTTTGCGACCGTAGTAGGATACGCACCTGCGGTCATGGCCAGACATGTGAGATTTTTTAGCCGGTTTGCACCAATTTGACCGGTTTCTGCCTGGCTTGAGGCAGTCAGTAGCAAACCATTGAGCACCTGTAGGTGCCTTCCCACCGTCAGAAACAATGCGTGGTGTTTGTACTCAACGCCAATCGAACTGTGGGATTAAAACCCGTAGCCCTGTTGTCTCCTATGGCAATGTTTTAAGGGAGGACGACCATCGACCACTTACTTACCTCCGAAGATGATGGGGTTTGGACTAGGATACTGGCAAGGCGTCCACACTGGACAAGAGAACAACTCGAAAGGCAGTGGGTCTAGCACGTGGTCAGTTCACAGTTTCACACGCATTTGTGTCCTGGCTGTTTGCTAGAAGAAGGGCGTAACCCAACGCCCACTCAACTGTTGTCACCAGGAGGCGTTCAGGACATGAGCTCACGACACAACGTTAGCAGCAGTGGGTCTGTCAGGATCTGTCAGGATCTAGCCACCGCAAGCCTCAGCGCAAAAATAACAACGTGTCATCTGTACACCGTGACGACGCTTCGCTGCCGGGTGAACACCACCAGTCCCGCGTGGGCTGAATGTATCGCGAGGACGCCTGCCCCTATGGGCCCTCATCATATATATATATATATATATATATATATATATATATATTCTTCGGTGGTTGCCGATGTTTTGTCGGCATGTACTTTCAGCCATCCCCAGTGATTGACAACGTATATGGCGGTTGGTACATAAGATCGAAGAAGGCTACCAAACCCATTGTATTTTTCCATCAACATCTTTACATTGGTCGTTGAATTTTACTCATTTGCTTACCGAGACCTTAGCTTGAGCACGGTCTCAACGATACAGGGTTCGTTTCTTTGTGTTGCTTTCACCGGAGACCTTGGCTTTTCAGACCCACATAAGCAGAGAATTCGCTCTGCTCCTCTTCGTTTATTTCTTATGTTACTAAAAGATTCATCCTTCCTGTCACAGCCGAGTTTTAACCTAACGCGTGCGCCTTGAGGGCGTTGCACTTTTCTGAGCGGATTCCTTGTGTGACTTCAGTGTGCTTACATTATTACTCATGGTCCTTAGTTTTTGTTGGTAGCACCAGCTTATGGCAATAGCGTTCGCTATAACGAAAGATATGTCTTCTTCGTACATTGCTGTGCATTCTTGTGATGTGAGTACCGAACTGCGTCGTTTAGTTTCGCACCACTCTCACAAGTATTCCTCTTACATCCCAGCCGTTGCTTCATCACAGTTCTCAGGTGATGGTGCTGTCACTTGTACTAGCACGAATCTTAGGGGACCGGACTCGATCATTCAGCTCAGCATTGCTGACGGGTGACACCAATGTGTCTCCGCTTCGAATGAGGAGGACTTCATATATGCGAATGTCAAGGACACTACAAATTACGTTTAACACTTCATTCACATCACTGATGGGGCGTAAACGAAGAATTGGAGCACAACACATCAGTTCTCTTCGGTTATTTTCTACATTAGGTAGAAGCCGAACTTCTGACTCGCCCACGTAACTTCACTTAAGTGGGTCGATCATCATCCCACACTTTGGTAGCTTGCGGAGTGCGACCTTGTGTTACTCTGCGTGGCACTCACTGGGATCTGTTCGCCGAATAATTGAAGCTATTTCGAACACGAATTAATGGGTCAGACACTGATGTCTTCGCCCCCTATTCTGTGTAAATGCCTTTTGATTTCGGATGTATGATTGCATGTTAGATTTAAAACATATTCCTCTTCGAGCTCTTATGGTTGGTTCAGGAACGATTGGCTCTCTGCAACCAGTGCCAAATCCTAGCACGGACTGGACCTCGACTTTCAATTATACTCCGCTGACACGCTACGCGCCTCAGCCTCTGTATGACTAATGGTTCGATTGGCACCAAATGGGACAAGATCGCTTGCAGTAATGTCACGCAAGGCTATGGTGGTGGGAACTGGTTGATTTGGTAAACGAAACGGATACGCGATCAGTGAGCAGGAGGTCAGCGAAACACCACCCGCTCGAACTAGTCGCAATCTCATATGCCAGAGGGACAGGACAACATTTGTTCGGCTTATCATGAACGCGGAGCAGCGTGGTTGTACACGTACCGGGAGCAGGCGGATCATGACAACAATGAGCGCGCCAACAAACCTCTAGGTTGGCGACACAAGATGCAATAATGGCCGGTCAACAGACTTGACCAACGGTGAACCACGCTAAATGACCATAGTCGCACATGATTGTTAGATGGCGAGGAATTAGCGCTGCTTATCATTCACCAAGCTCAATGGGATTCCAGACAGGGTAGGCGTGGGATAGAACAAATACATCGAATGAGTATCACCTGCGGACCATAGACAGACGGCATGGGACTCATGGCAACATCAAAGTCTTTTCAAATGCGACTAATACCCTATGACATGTACACATAGCACGTGCATCGGGACTTGTGCCAGCTAGCTTCCTCTGTGCACAATGAACTGTAGTTAACCTCGCAAACCCCTCAACTTACGATAAAAATTTCATATTTATCGTCTACTTTATATTCATCAGTAGCCTTTAGTTGTTACCTTTTGTAATCTCCCACCTTCGACTCCCGCAGCTGATGTCACCATATGTCCCGGCGAATACCAGCACACCACTGGAGACACGCGTCGAAGGCCGCAGTCTGGAACTGGCACTATGGATCAAGGTTGGTGTTTTCTCTTTCCTGAACACAACTGTGTCCTTATTTGAATAACAACGAATAACTCCTAATCGAATTCACTCTTTTTCATTCTATTCATCTTTTGATCTTCGATTTTAGGTTTAAATGCTCCCCATGTCCTTGCCGCTGTTGGTATGTGGGCCGCCAATGAGTTCTGCGATGAACAGCTCATGGATGTACGTATGTTTATGCCAAGACTATCTCTGTTCATAATCAACCTTTTCCTGCGTTGGACGACCTTCAGCTGTTTGGCTGAGAGTCACTAAGTGTTTATGCCTGTTTTCCATTGGATTATAATTTCACCTTTTGCTTCCAACCACCGTTATGTGTCAAAACTCGTGGTGTATGGAACTTATCTTCGTGCCACTAGCGCTGATTCTTTTCCAACCCACGAATTTCTCTATTTCTCCGCTCGGCTTATTTCTGGACGCCTACACGCAACCGTATGACTTGTTTGTCTTCAGATTACCCTTTATACTGTTTCCTCAACACTAGTGTTTTCAGTAAAGCTGGGCCTTAACGTGTTGCAATGGTTTGCTTGCCTCAGACTTGTGTTTCTCGCACTTTCAGACTCACTCATACCAGATAGGTCGATGGTTATAGGGTAGACAAACTCATCCTCCTGGTCCACCAGTTTGATGTTGGAATAAGGGTAGCTCCTTATTCCTTAAAACGGACTCCTTCTAGCCCACTAACAAACCCACTGCTTTGCGCTCAAGTTTTGGAACTGAAGGCTTTAGATAAGCATATTAATCGTTCTCCTGTCTAGGCCTCGGCAACCGGACGGTATCCTGCCCACGCAGTACAATGAATTTCTTTTCAAACAATTTCTTCATGCTTTGGCCGTTGCAGAAGACAACCAACGGTTCCCTTACTGCCACATCCTGCAGGATGGACAGGGGTTCGGATACTACTGCTCGGGCCTTCCCGTCTTCTTATTCCTCTTCCTGCGGCTTTTCACCCTTATCGCCCCGTTCCAGCTTCACTTTTATCCCCAGTTCTTGACCCTCCCACGCTTTGCTTTGATAGGCATTCCTCTTCTAGTCTCAACCCACATCCAAACGCGGAGCGTCCCTCCTGCCTTGGCGACAAACCGACGTCCAATCAAACGGGCAAGCTCACTTCATCGGTTTCTATTTGAACCACTCGACTCTTCTTCTGACTGGCATGCCTCAGCATACCCACATTGCTACAAATCGATCAACAGGCAGCACTTGCTCGAACATTAGATATCCTCTCGATCGATATCTGCTGCTTATCAGAGGCCCGTCTACAAGACTCGAGCTCAGTGCTCACTTTGCGATCCTCTTCAAGCGACACCAGCAGCACTTTCTCATTGCGCTTCTCTGGTGACGATGCAGCTTCGAGCACCGGCCAAGCCGGTATTGGTATTGCCCTGAGTCCCCGGGCTGGAGCTGCTCTAGTTTTTTGGATCCCAATCAGTTGCCCGATGTGTGCGGTCCGATTGGCTGACTCGTTCAAAGCTTCGAAGTTGCGCGGGACAAACAGGTGTCTATTGGTCATCGCTGCCTACGCGCCCACATACTGTAGCGATGATTCGGTTAAAGACGATTTCTACCGCCAACTGAACAAGCTTCTTCACCACAGAATAAGGTCGGACACTGTAGTGCTGGCTGGGGATATGAACGCTCAAGTTGGAAAATTATCCACTGATGAACTGCATCTGGGCAGGCAATATGGTGTAGGTTCAGGTAATGCTAACGGTGAGCGATTACTTCATTTATGTGGAGAAACCGCTTATTTTTGTGAGCACTAATTTCCAACACAGCACCCGCCGGATGGTGACTTGGCGCCCACCAGCCTCGAACCAACTATGGATGCAGATCGATCACATTGCGATAAGTTACCGCTGGAGAGGCTGCGTCCAGAACTGTCGCTCGATTTGGAGCACATGTGTGGACACCGATCATGCACTTGTATATGTTGACCTGCGGGTACGTTTCGGCGGACGCCCACGACGACGCTGAGAGCGCATTGACACCAGCCAATTGACGAAGGCAGCTGTTCTGAATTCCTATCAAAATACACTGACGTGCGCGTTGTGTAAGCGCTCACTGGATACAATTGAAGCTCACCGGTCTCATGTTCACCAGACCATAATAGCAGCAGGCAAATCCTCATGTGGTAAGTCTAATCGCCAACATGAACTTCGAGTATCTTCGCAGTCTTTGGAACTTATCGATGCTCCCTGGCACATTCCTTCTGGAAGCGAACACGACACTCGTAAAGAGCTCCGGGCAAAACTCCGTACTAGCGGGAAGAGTGACTGCGAATCCTGGTGGTCTCATCGTGCGTCAGAGATGGAAATGGCCGCTGCCCTTGGTAACCATCGGAAATTATTCCGTCTGATACGGGAAACGAGCAGCAGGAGACCTGGTGTTAGTAAAACTATACGTGGCGAGAATGGACAGCTTTCCGCAATTTGCCAAAGTGCTTGGAGCGTTGGGCCTAGCACTTTGAAAGGCTATATAATCGGCCGGAATTGTCAGATTCCTAATCCGGCCTCTCGCTCGGTATTCGAATGTGAGATCGGACTGTTGAACTTGAATAAAGCCGCGGGATAAGATTATTTTCATCCAGCCCTCTTCGAATTCGGGGCCTTGCTCTTGTCGATGATTCACACGAGTTGCTAGTGAAACTGTGGGATCAGGAAACTGTCCCAACCGACTAGAGCCGCTCCGTTATTGTTCCGATCTTCAAGAGAGGCTCACGTTCGGAATGCGGCAACCATAGAAGAATCAGTTTGATCCCCGTCACGTCCAAATGGCTTGCTTCTGTCATCCTTCGCAGATTGACTGGCGCAAGTGAAAGCCAGGTTCGTGAGGAGCAACCTGGATTTCGTCGATGTCAGGGCAGCATTGATCACATCGTTACTTTACGTCAGTTGTTGGAGCGCGCTCACATATAATGTTGGGTCACCGTTGTTGTGTTCATCGACATCAAAGGTGCACTCGATTCCGTAAATCGATCTGTTCTTTGTGATTGTCTGCTAAGGAAAAGTGTTCCCGAGGGCGTTACGCGTGTAGCTCGGATAGAGTGAGGACTTACGGCAAGTTGTTGCCACCCCTCAATGTATCAAACTTTGTAAGACAGGTATTCTTGTTGTCAACCTTCCTCTTCAACTTCGCAATTGACGAAGTCATGGAGTTCGTGTTCACTGGCTACAACTTAGAAGATGTGGAGCTGCTCCCAAATGAACGACTTCTTGACTTGGAGTAAGCTGACTACATTGCCCTCATATGTGACTGCTGCCAGACGTGTCAAGCGGCATTGGACAGATTATCACTGGCTGTCAACCGTTTTGGGCTATGTATTGCTCCTTTGAAGTGTGAAGTTTTCTTCCAAGATTGGCCGGACCGTCTCCTGCGCTGACCCTAGATGGGGATCAGTTAGCAATCGTTCAAAAATTCAACTACCTCGGCAGTCGTATCGGCGCCGTTGGAATTGAAGATGTGGTCACGATCCGTATAGCGAAAGCTCGACGCGCGTTTGCCAATCTCCTCCACCTGTTGCGCCGGCGCGACACCACTCTGGCTTCGAAGGGCAGAGTACAATGCAGCCGACCTTTCAACCCTACTCTACGGTTTCGGAACGTGATCCATTAGACCAGCCGACCTAAAGAGGCTAGTTACGTTCGACCATTGCTGCCTTTGCAGCTTAGCTCATGTCTGGTGGATCATCGCGTGAACATTGCACGTGTTTGGCGTCGCGTATTTGGTGCAAGAGGAGCGAGTGAACCGCTCAGCATCATTATATCATACTCCAGGCTTCGATGGCTGGGCCACATGTTGCGCATGCTAGCACACCGACTCCTGCGCGGTTGTATTAATGGGAGCTGCTGACTTTGTCAAGAGGATTTAAATCCCTTTGTTCGAAGCTGGCCTCGTTTGAGGCCGCCCGGTTGCTTCGCCAGGGCCCAAAAGACGATGAACACTTTTGGCTGGATACACTTGTTTACATGGTTAGGAACCGACCCCAATGACGTTTACGTTGTGAGTTTATTTCTCCCTCGTACCCAGCCTCCCCCTCTGACTACAATCTTCCTTTGTACGCATAATGTAACTTTTTCGGCACAATAGCCGGCTGTTAGCTCTCCGCTACTCGTTAGTGGTGGCTCAGCTAGCGTGTCTGTTTTGTGTTTTTTTATATTTGAACACAATAGCTGTGGTATTTCTCACATCTATCTAACGTTTATACTGGGGTTGCTTGCATTAATCATCGACCTTCTAATTTTGCACCTTTTTTCCTTCCTCTGCTGTAGCCTGAACACAACGAGGAAATCAAAACGATAACAATGGTACTAGAATTGTGCGAACTTCTCACGGAATTGGCGGAGAGACGGGCGTCTGTATTGGCCGATTGCACGGTCACTACATCATCGACCACTTCTGCCCATGATATGAACTCAGAAGTCACTCCTGATGTCGTTGAAACAAGCACATCATCTCATGGCGCCGTATGCAAACCTGTGCATACCAGTTCACAGGAATCCGGCGGCGTGGACGGGTCTTCTCCTAGACCAACTGGTCTACGCTTTTTGTCTGAAGCCCAGAGGTATGGTAGCGAGCTATATTCTTGACCCGATACTTTATCAGTTTTTCTCTTTCCATACACCAGTCTGTGATTTCAACTAGGTTTTCTAAGATGACGTCATCCATCCTTCGACCGAACTGCATCTGTTACTGATGTGGTGGACACACCAGTTTATTTTTAATCTGGACATGTTCCATACTTTCAGCCGACCATCGCAATATTCGAGCCATCTGGTGGCACTGTACGTTACGGTATGTCTTGTCACCGCTTACCGAGGAGGACCTTGTTTACTCTGCCAGGTGTAGGGTGTCACAAGGCTCGCGGCGTACAGAAGTTGACTTGGCAGCGGGAAATGAAGTCACTGACGACCGAACTGGGTGCCGTTGGGCCTTCTCTTCTTCCGAGATGGAGTCCACCTGACTTGCCTTGTGTTTGACTCAAGAATATACAGGACTTGGCTCGCACTCGACACCAGTGGCGCGTCTGCTGCCGTCTCCTAGTCGGACTGTTTGTTTAAAGTGTGTTTGATACTGAATTATCTTCGGGGTAATGGCTGATTATGACGCGGAGCAGTGAATGCCTCAAGGGAGCTTTCTCGCGGATGCCGCCTTGTCTTTGCACGATAGCCAGCGCCTTAACCCTGAATGCTTGCTTAGTGCATTAAAGTTTTCAGGTAAGTCCCCCTTCTCTCCCTCTTATTATTCTTCGTTCCGTAGGTCGTTATGGTTGTATGGCAGCGGAGCATGGGTTCAAATGGCTGATGTGTTGCTGTTGATGATTATGATGACTCCCTTGTCATCTGCAACATCTGATGCCTGGTTTCGTCAGCCGCCTTGTGTACTGTCAATTATGGAACACGGCAGCATCGGTCACCATGGTGTGCAGCTACTGGGAACGAAATGTTGCTCGTTGATCTCGGCCAGCGTATTCCCCATCTTCCGTTTGCAGTTTACTTTACAATCAAGCATCTTAATCAGGAATCATCCAGTATCCCTAGGGTCCCAATCACAGCTCTGGTTATGTTTTCGATGGATTCAATCTCTCCGCAGCTGATGGTGATTTTTCCTCGAAATTGTTTTGCGTCGCGATCTGCTTGCTGGACCATTCCTTGACGTGCGGTTGTACGCCCACTTCTGGGATATCGTTGTTTACGTTCCGCCGGGCGAGATCGCCTGTTTTCGTTAGCGGCTTGCTACTTTTCTTCCTGTCGACTAACTGTGACTCTTCGGTCTGTCACCAACACTGCAAACGTTGCACGTGTCATCTAGGTCGGCCGCACTGTCAGCGTAGAGCCACCAGGTGACCTTGGTGCGATTGTTCACCAGAAGCAATGTGGTGCGACAGTCACCTTAGGGCTGTAACTGAGCCTAGCTAATGAAGAATTCGCAACTCTCCCATCCCTTCACTCACTCGTTCTCGTCACACCCACCTCGCGGTCTGGCTACCGTGTTAACACATGACTCACATCAAACTCCTTTGCGCTCCGTCACGTAGGCTACTATTTACGTGAGAATTGCCGATCTGAGTATAAGGCATAGTCACACGCCACCTGCCTCAGATCGCATGCGGTCCCAAATCCCCGAGTTCGATAGGGCGTTTGCGAGTTGTGTGCACCATCGAATGACTCAAGCGTCACCGTCGCACCCTGGCACATTTGTCTTAGGTGGTTGTATCCGTCCCCTATCTCAATGATTTATTGCTACTTCCTCATCCATAATCGTATGGTACCATTAGGTGACACTGTCCATATTGCTTTTGGCAGGATTGTGGAACAGATTGTACTTTATCGTCGTGTACTCTACTACTTGGAATACGTTTACGTCCAAGTGAAAAAGGCCGTGGTTCGCAGGCGTCTCAAATCAACCGCAACTTCTCGCCGGAGTACGTTTGTCCCTTCTTTCTGGATTTTCCATGCGTATTTTCTATGTTTTAGCCTATGTTTCGTTTCACTATACGCTCTAGCGCATACCGTGGATCTGCTTTGTCTTTGCTCTTCATTCCTCGGTTTTGCAGCCATTCTCCACCTACGCAATTTCGATTTTGCTACTTGTTAGCTCGGTTACAGTTTTCCGTACCCATCTACCTTTATTGTATCCATTTGCATGATCCCCATCACTCTCTCCAGCCCTACTCTCATGTGTATGTTGAATCGGGTGACCTATGACAAACTGCATGTGCATACCTAGGCACTGTAGTACGCGGCACGAATTTCGACTTTACTTTTCCCGCATGCGCAGTGCGCTTCCATTGTCTGGGGTTCTTCACATTAGCCCAGTTTGACAACGGATTGCTTTACTCATCGCATTCCTTTCTGCACTCCTTCAGGGCTCAATGACTGCAATTCTCTGTATCATCGATGCTACATACGGTTGAGACAGCTGGCTCGTCAATCCCGCCGCGACGATCTCATCGAGCCCGTTGGGCGACTATTGGCGAACATCACTGCGAATCGTCTGATCTTTCAATACGCGTTGGTCCAGGTAATTGCATCTTGCGCTTTCCATTATTTTTTCTCTTTCAACGCTCAATATCTGCTTCTGTCACTGTGTTCATCCCACGTTGAAGACATCCATCTCTGCATGTGTGTCTATCACTGCACCTGTGCATAGTCACTGGGTCCGTTTGTCAACCTATGGGCTATTGTGGCACGTGTTTCACTACCTCCAAATCCCACCTCCGGTTCAGACTGGAATCATTCCGGTCAAGGGACACGCAGATAGGAAGTATGATTTCTCTGCAGTCTTTCATCGCTCCTGCAGCGCTCACACATTTTTGTTACTGCAGTCCAGTCACCACATCCATGCATCTGTGGCATATTACAAGCAGCGCTCCCAGAACGTCTTTAAGTTTATTCGAAAGCGGCATTCGCATGCTACTCGGTGCACTTCGCAGCAGTCCGTCGGAGGCATTTTTCGCCACCAGCTTGTATTCCCCTGTACCACTGGTCACACAATTTTTTTGTAGCATATCGTCTAGCGACCAAAGTTAGTCGTTAAACGATATGTATGAAACCATCTATGCCTGATGTTGAGGTTGATGTTGCATATGTTACCTTTCTCCATCGCTGTGAGGCTGTGTGAGCGATTTACACTTACCGTTGTTCCGCATTACACCATTTTGTTTCATTTGCTCAGTTCTTTTGATTCTCCGCATGTCATTTAATATCGTCTAACTTACACCTGCTTAAAATCACCTTTACACTAAATCAGACTTAATACACTTCTTTATTTTCTCCGTTCTATCATGCTGTCGCACACTTCCTGTCCAGTTTGCGTGTCTTTTCTTTCATATTCTATGTTAGTTGTTTGATATCCATGGTATTGCTGCACTTCATGTAAATGTTGACAAGCTGTCTGTCTGTCGAGAAACCTCTACATCCAAGTAGTATACATCTCTGTCGATTGATCCGCGTTATGGAACCGTCTACTAAAGAAAGATGTACCCGACAAGTTTGTAACCATCCTGAACGAACTTTACAGTCACACTTCGGATAGGCTTTCCTCTTCGTTTGCTCCCACCGGCGGCGTTGGCCAAGGTTGCCCTACTTCACCATTTATCTTCAATTTTACCATCGAAAATGTCCTCCCCGGCGACAGAGCCGCGGACTTATATTACACCGATGACATCGCTTTGTTTGCGGATGATCCATAATCCGCCCAGAGCGCTTTTAACTGCTTAGCGATGGAAGCGTCTAAGTATTACATGTATTTCACCCCAGGCAAATTTAAAATACTACTCCAGGATTGGCAGATGCCTATGCCTGCGCTCACCATTGCTGGTAACGTCCTGGAACAAGCCCACTGTTTCACTTATCTAGGGAGTTGCATCACAGTTGGTGGCTGTATTGAAGATGGCGTCTCACAACGGATCATAAGGGCTCGCCTTGCATGCATCAGACTGAGACACTTATGTCGACGTCAGTCTCAAACTCAAGGACAGGGTATATATTGTCTCTGTCCGTGCGGTCCTCTTTTACGGCTGTTGGACCTGGCCGACTCGCTCGGAAGACATAAGACGATTGTCAGTTTTCGACAATCCTTGTCTGCGTAGAATTGCTCGCGTGTGGTGACAACATCACATAAGTAACGCAGAAGTCGGAGAGCCAGTCTTTGGAGCAAACAGCCCATACCTCCAAACGGTCATCTTCCGACACTGCATGCGTTGGCTCGGTGACGTATTTCGCATGACGGCCTATCGCCTTCCCGTCGAGCGTTATTTGCGCTCCCCGAAAGCGATTGGAAAAAGTGTTGCGGTGGACAACCAAAGGGGAGAAGAAACATCAAGAAGTTAACCTCAAGCTTAGCATTCATCGTACCGGGTCCGCCTTCCATGATAGGGACCACGCGTTTCTGACTGCCAGTGGTTAAAAACGTTGGAGGCTATGACGCGCAACCGGCACCAGTGGAGACAGTGTTGTCCGTATTATCTATTAGCTAACGTTTCATCGAACATAAAACTCCAAAACACAAAAATAATCCAAAAACGGCGTGTGTAAAACAAAATATGCTTTTCTTCATGTTGTTTTTCGTTTTCCCCCTTTATTTCCTTATAGCTCTGATAACGCATTATCTGTAAGCAGATTGCGAGTATACGTATATGGTTGGCGGCATCCCGTTTCGGATTTGCTTGTCACTCTCGCCAGCTACAGGACGCCAGTGCCTACAGAGGGACCATGGATGGTTTGCGCTGCACCACCCACAGCTCCACCCACACACCCCATATCCAGTGTAAACCCGAAGGAATAAGACCGAGATGCATGCGGATGAGAGCCCCTTTTCATCAACGGAGCCGGCCCACACTCCTTCACAGGCAAACACAAGCACGCTATATTTGGGAATTAAGCGCATACAAGGCGGCGACTGGACCGTAGTCCGCTCCACACTGAGTGCATGGAGCCACTCTCTGATCCTAACACGGCCACAAGGACCATTCACGGCGTTCCCTCTAGCAACGACAAACTGTCTCCTAGAGCCAGTATAAACGAGGTAGTGGGTAATAGGCAGGTAGGCACCTTGTTAACATGCACATCAAGCGCAGTCACACCGGGGATATCAAGCAACAGCCAATCACTTGAGAGAAATGTAACAAAAATTAATCGAGTAATGCATAAGGAAGCGTGACAAAAATCTTAAATTATTAAACATATGAAATATGTCCTTTATAAAAGAATCCGAGATAAGTTCAAGAGCTCAAAAGTATGTTCTACGGAAATGACACAAACACGAAAATGTTATCAAAATTAACTACATTTGGCTTAAGCGGGTTGTGTAGGTTTATAGAAGAGCGCAAAAGTGGACATTTATTTGAAAAAGAAAAGCACTAGGACAAAACTGAAAACCCACCACCTGAAATAAAGAGACTTAGCATGCAAGCACGCGGTTCGTAAATCGAATGCAGCGTACCTACAAACGCTGCGCCAGTTCTGCCTACGTTCTATGCAGGACCTGTCGTCGCTTCGGTAGTGATCCCGAGTGGCCTCGCTCATGGCTCACTAGACCTGCCTGACTAAGGCACTCGCAACCGCATAGGCTACAGCACCATGCGCTTGATGTCGATGGAGTACAACCCATCGGTGATTGCCACTTCCGCACTTGCCGCAACTTCTCTGCATGCATGAGGGCTTTCTCCTGCACCTCGGCAACTGCTTTTGTGATCAGATCGCGCCATGCACGCCGATCAACCGCCTTCGATTCCCATGATCTGCAATCAAGATTAGAACGTGTGAGGCTCAATTTAATCATGTCCTGATAACGTAACTTTGGTTTCCCCACATGCCGCTTTCCAATACTCAGCTGACCATATCAGAGTTGTTTCGGTATCCGCGTCGAATCCATACGGCTCACACGACCGATCCACCTCAGTTGTCTTAGCAAAAGTATACAGTCCACTGAATACACTCCACTTTGTCGCAACACTTCCGTGTCCGCCACTCTGTCGCAAAATCCGTCCCAGACACTGCTGATGGAACCGCTCGAGATATCGCACATCCCGCCGGTACATCGTCCACGTTTCACTGTCGTATAGAAGAACGGACAGCACCATGGATTTGTACACCATCAGCTTCGTGCTAGTGATAAGCTGATAGTTGTTCCACGCTCGGTACCCAAGCTTCCCGAATGCCGCTGCTGCCTTCGACACGCGAATATGCAGCTCACTGTGTATCTGCTGATCAGTCGACATCACACTTCCAAGGTAGCAGAAGCGGGAGGTGGTTTCCAATACTTCAGCACCAATGCTGCTTCGCGGCAATATTGAAGATTGCGCCTCCGGTGAAGGCTAAAATAGACGGACAGTTTTGCTTGTGCTGCAGCTCATCCGCGCTGTGTGCAAATAACCCACAGTCGTCAGCAAACAGCAACATACGGATAATTGTCTCACAGACTAGAGTTCTCGCACCGAAACGACGGATGTTCAGCAACCCACAATCAATACGGTGCTCCACACGAACACCGTAAGCACAAGGGGCATCAAAAGCACAAGACAACATTGCATGAAGATATATATTAAACAGGACAGGAGCTAAGACACAGCGTTGCTTCACACCAGAGACAACTGCAAAGTCATCCGAGGTCTGTCCACTCAGCTGCACCCTTGCTCGCATGCCGCTGTGCAGACATTAAATTAAACTTACAAACTTACACGGACAACCAAACTTAATTAACAGCAGCCACAGTGTCTCGCGGTTCACCGTATCAAATGCCTTGGTGAAATCAACAAAAAGCGAGTACAATGGCTGGTGTCGTTCTCTGCACTTCTCTTGCAACTGACGAGCCGCAAACACCATATCTATAGTGCTGCGACCCGAACGGAATCCACACTGCCCTTCCGCCACGTTAGGTTCCACAACCTGACTGACGAGGCGGTTGAGCACGATTCAGGCAATCACCTTGCCCACACAACTCAGCAAGTTGATGCCACGATAATTCGTGCAACATTGCTTGCTACCTTTGCCCTTGTACAATAGTAGCACAAGGGCATCCTTCAGCTCAGGAGGCACCTCCTCCTCAATCCATACACGTTGCACCAAGTGGTGCAGCGCAGTCAACAACGCGGGTTCGTCATGTTTCAGTACTTCAGGCGCGATCCGGTCGGCACCGGCACACTTGCCGTTTCCCAGCTGAGCAAATGCTCTCTGCGTTCCATCCAGTGTCGGCGTGTCCGCCATACTCGTCTTCATATCGTGCTGCTTGAGGCCGTTCAATGTAGGCCAGTCGATCTCTGAACGATTGTTCAAGAGACAGTCAAGATGTTTCCGCCGGATCTGCATTATGTCTGCAGTCTGTTTGCAGGTAGCGGCTGAACAACCATCGATCAACGTCCTCAGCGGTTCCATTTTCGGTCACACACCGCCTTAGAGGAGTCAAAAAGTTCCTTATGTTGACGGCGTTCGGCGTAGCATGCCCACAGCTTCGCCATCTCCATCCACCATGCATTTATAATGCGACGGAGTTCTCGAGTCAGTCGCCGTCTAGGTTTACGA